TTATCTGGGTGCCTAGATCCTTTCTTTATTGGTTATGTAAAGCTGGTTGGTACAGGGTTCAGGCTCTTTCAGGTTTATTTTGGAGGGAAGTGATGGCTTCAGATCAACTATTCAGGGGTAGCCACAGAAGTCTAATTCAGGTTCCAGTCAGGTACACTCAGGCTTCCTTTCCCATGTGGAGGCAGGATCCAGGGTCTCTCAGGCAGTCTTGTGCATTGTAAACCCTATGCCAAAGGGAGGCCAGAGGGGCCCCAGAACTTGGCACTCTCCGGTGGTCTGCTGAGATCCCAGCCTTAGCCTACCAAAGTCAGATCTGCCCTGGGCCTTGGGTAGGGCCTCACCAAATCCCAGGTAGGGGGATGGTATGGGACAATTAGGGGAAGCTCACCATCACATGGAGGCAGGATCCAGGGCTGTCAGGCTGTGCCCTGGGTTCTTGGGCCCTTTGGTAGTTGGAGGCCAGAGGGAGGCCAGAACCCAGCACTCTCTGGCTGTCTGCTGAGCTCCGAGCTGCTACCCTGATGGAGATCCGAACCACCCTCTTAATCTGGATCTTAAACATCACTGTTGTGTGACCCTTTCCTGAAAAAAAAAAAATGTGAACAAATGTCTGCTCATTCCAGGCAGGACACCAATGACACTTATAGTAATGCTTCCATCCAAATCTAGCTTGGTGAGCCAATCTATGAATTCACTGGTCTTACAGGAACACGGTGAGGGGTTAACTTACAGGAGCATCAAGTAGCCACATCACTGAAGTCTTAGCCCAGTGACTTCCACACTATGCCTTAGCAATTCTGGGACAGAATTATATAGTTAGGAGGGAGGTACATGAAGGAGTAGTTGGAGACGCACACAAGGGTTGATGACTCTCGTTATTCCCTCCTATGAGGGGACATCAATAAACCTGTTTTCGAGGGTTTTGGGGGGCAGTGACACTGTTCTGATTAAGATGGAAATGGTGATGAGCTCAGAAAGCAGCATTCCGAGCAGTCACCCAATGGTCCATTATGTCGGAGGCTTGGCCCTCAGAATGGTGCTGACCTAGTGGGAGGTCTTTAGGTACTGGGGTACGCCCTCAAAGGACGGTGGGAGGCCCCCATCCCACATTCCCCTTGCTGCCTGGCCATGAGGTGGTTTGTTGCAGCAACTGCTCCTGCTATGACACGCTGCATCTTTTTCCCTGCAGAGGCCTGAAAGCAATGAGTCAAGTCATAGACCGTAACCTCCACCCTGTGAGCCAGAGTTTCTCCTTATAACTTGGTCGTCTCAAGCATTTACTGCAGCACTGGAAAACTAATCCAAGAGCTGGGGATGGAGTAGGAACATAGATTCTTGTGAGGAAGAGAGAGTGAATGTGTGGGGGTCCTTGGAAATGCCTAGACCATAGTGACCTAGACTCATGATCAGTGATGGCTTTTTTTTTTTTTTTCTTCTAACTGTAGGCAACTTGAGGATAGGGGTCGTTTTTTACTTTTAAATTTTTATTTATTTGTGTTTTATGTGTATGAGTATTTTGCCTGCATGTATGTAAGGGCAGCAGAAGAGGGTGTTGAAGCCCCTGCAACTGGCACAAGGGACTGTTCAGGATTGTCAACTGCCACATGGGTGCTGGGAACCAAACCCAGGTCCTTTCCAAGAGAAGCCAGTGCCCTTAACTGCTGAGCTATCTCTCCAGCCTCAGGGGGACAGGATTTCTGACTATGCTTACTCCTTTAAAGACAAGTAGGTCTTCACCAATGGGCTGTTGAATTGGACCTTTCATTGCTTTCCCAGCCAAACTTAATCAACAGATTTAATCATTTACCAAGGAGTTCTAAGCACTTTAGAAATGCTGAATTAATCTCTAGGTGACTCCATGAGGCTGGTTTTACTGTCTCCATTTTTACAGATGAGGAAACAGATACAGGAAAATTAAGAAGCTTGCTGGAGCTTGAACTCTATTAAATGAGGGAGGTATAGCTCCTGGGCCCTCCATCTCAGTCAGCAGAGCTATGGTTTCTTAGTTTCAGAAAGTGATTACTCAGAAACCATCCACACAGCTTTTCTTTGTTGTTTTAAGTAGCTTTGTTTTTCTAGTTATCTGGATAAATAATTGCTTTGATTTTTCTCATTCCTTTTACAAAAAAATTTCCCAAAGTCTCATTAATCATTACTCATTAATCTCCTAGGACTGATGATGATAGTGGTTTTTATTAAAATTTTACCAGAATTGCAGACTGGCCCCTAAATACAAAAGGGCTCTTTATACACCATGCTGCAAACTCCAGGGGTCTCTTCCTAGTGTGTTTAAAAGTACCAGATGATCTTAGTATATTATCTGGTGTATCTTCAAGGTACTAGGAATGCAACATCCAACTCGCCTACTTGCCTGGCAGCCAACACAGAATTCAAGGAAAGCGAAGAGCAGCCCTCCACCAGGAAAGGGGTGCGAAATTCTGACTTGAGTGCTTTATTTTTAATTTTCTTTATACTTCATTTGCAAGCCCAATAGATTTAGTGATTTTTTTTCCTTTTTTCCATTTGTGTGTGTGTGTGTGTGTGTGTGTGTGTGTGTGGTGTGCATATGTGCATGCACATGTATTCACATGCATGTGGAGGCCCAACGTTGATGCTGGGAATTTTGATTGCTCTTCACCTTATTCGTTGAGGCAGGGTCTCTCAATCAAACCCAGAGCTTTCAGATGACTGCATCTCACTAGCCAACTTGTTCTGGAGGATCCCTGTCCCCACCTTCGGAGGCTGGAATTAGAAGCTGGCCACAATGCCCACGTGTGGATTATGGGAATCTGAACCCTGGTCCTGTTTGCACTTTAACCTCTGTGCCATCTTCCCAGCCCAGTTTTAGGAATTAAAATAAAAAATATCTATCTTACTAGTCACTGCCATTGACTCTGATCACCTGCCCAAGGAATAGGTGAGTGGAATATGCAGGACACAGGAGAAGGTTCAAGAAAAGTGGCTCCTGTGTTACATGGCAGTTACACTAAGAAAATATTTATCTTCATTTTATGTGTATGTGTGTTTTGCCTGCATGTATGTAAGTGTGACATGTGCATCTGGTGACCTCAGAGAGCAGAAGAGGGTGTCAGATCCTGTGGAATTGGAATTAAGGTCTAGTGTTAGATGCCATTTGGGTGCTGGGAACCAAATCTGGGTCTTCTGAAAGAGTAGAAGTACTCTTAGCTGCTGAGCCATCAGCCCTATCCATGGCCGTTCTATTTCTAAGGTCTTCATGGTTTCACTGAAGTGATCCCACCTCGAGTCTGTGATACTGACACTATCCCAGCTAAGGAATGAGCACCCAGAAGTTCACAGAAGGCAGGTGGCCCCAGCTGAGATGTGCAGGAAGCTTTGCTGTGATGCAGGTCTCCTGGCCCAGGCTTTCTACAGTCTTGTACCATGATGTTTTTGGAGGCAACGCTTAACAGTAGAAATCTGGGCCTGGTTATTGTTTGGGGAATACATTTTGTATTTTGAAGGGGAAAAAAAGACATTATTTTCTTTCAAACTGGATTCATCGTATTCTCTTGTGTGGTCTCAGTTCCGTCTGCACCCCACCTTTCATTCATTAGACCTTACATCCACATCTGCAGCTCAGAAAGGGATCCCTTTGGCTGACCAAGGGTATCCATCAACGATTGTTACTACTGCATCCCTTACATTAAAAAGTTTACAGAGTCATGGGCCAGTGAGATGGCTCAATGGGTAAAGGTGCTTGCTGCCAAGTCTGATGACCTCAGCTGGATCCCAGGGACCCATATGGTGGAAGGAAAGAACTGACCCTCACAAGCTGTCATCTGACCTCTATGCAGGAACATGGCATGTGCCCCTCCACCCAAAAAAGTAAAAAATAAGTGTTAAGTTCACACAGATTTTACTTTTTTCCTTTCCATTTTCCTGTTTTATACATCCTTCCTCTTTGGTTTCAAGGTGCTCTGTTCTCTTCTTCATTCAGGCCCCATGTCTTGATATTAATAATTTAGTTTTTTTGTATCTGGCAGAGTACTCAAAAGAGTACATCTTATTAATCAAAAAACATTATGCAAAGAAAGGAAACTACAAAATTTTAATCAAAGTAAGCAATGACAGGTTTATTTAAAATTTTCCAGTAGAGAAAAACCCACTAGTTTTGGAATAAAAGTATTCAATGTACGAGAGCAAAGGTGAATATAAAGGGTTAACGAAGAAAAATAAAACCGAACAGTACAAAAACAAACAAAACAAAACATTTAAAAAGTCTGAAACGGATTCAAATAGAGATCTTTAAATCCTGCAAATAATGAGTTACTAGATTTGGCAAACAATTTGCTTGAAAATTAAAGCCTATTTCCATACTGTAAACTCCTTAAAACTGCTTATTAAATTCAAGCATTTCATACACTGAGTATTGAAACACATAGCAAGCCAATGTGAGAACAGAAGGAATCATTCACTTGCTCTCACAGTTATATGAATCACATAGCTGCATAACTGCTTAGTGAAGAGGACAGAAAGCAAAGTGGGGTAAAATCTCTAAAGAAAAGAAAAGAAACAGCAAAATTCAGATACCAGTTTGTTTTTTAAGGCAACAAACTGAACTTTACAGTATATTCTACATTTGTGGTTGACATTTCCCTCCCCCACCCCCTCAAATACCTCTAGATTCACTAGTCATTAGACTATTCATAACCTCCAAATATTCTCTATATACATATTTAGCAAAGAGCATATGCCTAACATCACTCTGACAGCAGTATAGTTAGCATACAATTTTAGAAAGATTACTATGTAGATCATAGAGATTAACCTTTACTTTAAAAACAAACAAAAACCATTCAATACTAAACAAATGGTTTTAAAATATTATGAAAACCCACGAGAAGATGATTCAACATGGGCTCTGAACCTGATAAAAACACACTTCAGAAAGACTATTAATGTTAAACTTCTGCCAAATGATGACCTTAAAGTGCCAAACACAAAAAAAAAATCTCTTAGGACCATTTTTCTAATAGATAATTTGTCCCTGGCTTGGCCATCTCTTTTTTAACTATACACAGAATCCTGCTAAAAGTCTGCATTCTAGTTGATTTTACAATAGAATGTCACATGTAAACTAAACAGGTTCTTGATATCAACAGTATGTTACCAAGGTTTTGCAATTTCTCAATCCAACAGTTGGTCACAGAGGTCAAGTATTATCAAGGCTCCTTTGTCAGTTCTTCATCCTGTCTGACACATCCATCCTTCAAGTACATGCAAGGCTCAATAGTTTGCAAGAGACAGACCCCGAGGCTGTTTAAGACACTGATGAAATAGGATTGTGAGGCGAACCCATCTGGGTAAGAACTTTATCCAGCCACTGGAGAGGGCCATGCAGGTGTATCTCAATCCAGCAAGGGGTGCTAGTGACATCCTGCCGATGGTATTCAGCTCCCCAGCCCTAGGGAAGAAAACACACTGGGTGTTGTTTAACTTGCTTAACTCAGTGGTTCAGTCTACTAAACAAAATCTCATCAGAGGTTCTGATTAGAACTATGACTATTTCCACAAGAGAAATGCATACATTACAACTGTACAAGTAATTTGGTGGATAATTTTCAGGGCATGGATGCTGGCCAATCAAAGTCTATCTACAGACTTCAGATTAAACATTACTGGTCTTTGGTAGTCAACGTTTTAAAATACATTTGAAATTTGTTTGAATAAAGGCATTTTAAAACATACTCATTTCCCATTACTGCAATGTTAAAATTTTATTTTAAACCCTTTCTTTTTGCAACAGAGACTTATTAGAGAGTTCCAGAACTGGTCAAATGCAAAGAATAAGTGTCTGTGAGATGCTTAATCCTAAGTGACACATCTTCAGTGCAACTTTTACACACAGGATGAATGCATCTCTCATCTGTCACTAGAGAAGTTTCTTTATGAAGCGGATGGTGATTAACACAGACCCACAACTGGCCAGTGTGCAGAGAACAGGAGGCTGCAGACTGCTTATCCCTGGACAGGACGCCTGTGTCAAACTCTGCCTCCCAACGGTCAGGGATCATTGTGGAACAGGAGGTGGAAAACTTTTAAGAGCCAGAAGGGGTGACAACAAGGACAGTCTTCCCAATAGCTGGTCAGTTACTCACAGGAACTCTCACAATGGTGACAGCATGCAAGTCCTATGCAAGCTCAAACCAGACAAAATCCCAGCATAGCCATGGGGAAGTGGTTAAGAAATGCCACCCCAACCTAAGGAACTTTTGACAATACATGGCTGCTGGGAGGGGGAGAGACAGTGCCTTACAGGGAGGGACGGGACTCTTGGTGGCCCTGGTGGATGGGCCCACTGAAGGACATGTGGGGACACAAATCAGACTTTACAGGCCGTGTGTGTGTGTGTGTGTGTGTGTGTGTGTGTGTGTGTATGAGAATTAAATTGGGTGGGGAGCAGTGGGGGAGGGGATCTAAATACTATCAAACTATATTGCGTGAAAAAAATCACAAAAATTCAATAGGAAACATTTTAAAATTTTATTTACTTATCTTATTCTACCAACCAACCTACCTATCAAGACAAAGTCTCATATAACCGCCTAGCCTGGAACTTGCTATATCGACCAGGTTGGCCTTGAACTCTGTGAGTTCAAAGCTACCCATTCCTGCCTTCCAAGTGCAGGCATTAAAGGTGTGTACCACCACTCCTGGCTTTATTTAAGATTTTATTTTAATTTTTAAATTACATGCCTATGTGTATGTTTGAGTGTGTTTATACACAAGTGCAGTGCCCTCCAAGTCCAGACAAGGATGTTGGATTTGAGGGCAGCTTTGAATTGTTCAACATGGGTACTGGTAACCAAACATGGGTTCTATGCAAGAGCACTATGCACTCTTAACCGCTGAGCAATCTCTCTAGACCCTTTATTCATTTGTGCTTGCATGTGGGGGGCCAGGTCAACTTTAGGGGTCTTCCTCAATCACTCTCTACCATATTTTTTTAGGCAGGGTCTCTTTCTGAACCTGGAGCTTTGGCTGATTAGGCTAGCCTGACTAGCCAATAAGCCCCAGGGATCCTAGCTCAGTTTCCCCTATGCTGGGATTAAGGTACACACTACCACTCCTGAATTTATTTTTTAACTTAATTATTATTGTGTGTATGTGCAGTGTGTGTGTGTATGCCATGATGTGAATGTGGAGGTCAGAGGACAACTCTGTGGAATCAGTTTTCTCTTTCCACCTTTGCATGGGTTCCAGGGATTGAACTCAGGTTGCCAGGTTTGCACAGCAAGTACCTTTACCCACTGAACCATCTTGCCAGTCCTTAGTTTTGTTTTGTTTTAATGGGTAGTAAGGATCCAAACTCAGGTCCTCAGGATTACTTTACCAACAGCCATCATTAATTAACTTTGAGACATGGTTTGAGTTTGCAGTCCAGGCTGGCCTGAAACTCACTATGTAGTCCCAGCTGGCTGTGAACTCATGGCAATCCTCCTGCCCTAGTCTCCCTCATGCTGGGATTACAGGTATGGACCAGCATGCCCATTTCTGTGGCACTGGCAACTGAATACAAGGCCTCCCATATGACAGGCCAACAGTCCTGTTAGCCCCAGCCCTGTTAAAGCTATTTTCAAATTTTCTCTTTATCATCAATTAATAAGGCAAAGGCGAAGCCAGACTGATTGGGTTAATGAAGTTCTATCTATCAGCAACACAGAGCTCTAGAACTTTCAGTTTCTCCATGAAACTGGCTGAACACCTAAGTGTCCCCAGCGCTCTTACTGATGCCTACTCATTGCCTTGAAGCCACAGAGTCTGTCATTCCTTTGGACAAGGTATTTTTCTAGATGGCTTCAGAATGACCAATTAAGACAATAAAGTTCTGTAGAAGTCACAATAAAAGCCAGGTATAGTAGTGTGTACCTATAATCCCAGCTCTATTCAGAGGCTGAGGCAGGAGGATCATGACTTTAAGGCTAGTCTGGACTGCACAGTGAGTTTTTGGCTAGCTTGAGTTACACAGAGAGACTGTTCCAAGTTGAAAAAAATTGGGGTTGGTGTGAGTGGACAACAGAACACACACATCTGACAGGTCCTTGTTTCAGGAAGAACGCTGGTACTCAGGCTCCATTCATCGCAGCTACTTACCGTCTGCAGAGGTTTTATAAAACACGTCAGACTATGGCAAGTTTTAGGAGAAAGCTGGGGAATGTGAACTCTGCCTGTGTGTGCCTACACACCTGTGCATTTGTCTGTTACTCAACAGCTACCACAAAGATTCATCTCTTTAGACAGTGTGCTCTCTGAAGGCATAGGGCTTAGCTCTGACCTCTGATATCCAGTACAGTCACTGGCACGAACTAGAAGCTCTTCAGACATATACTCAGCCAAACTGATTTGGACTTGTCAAGATATGGGAGAGCTTAAGATATAAATAATTTATAAAACACGTTTTTAGGGCTGGAGAGATGGCTCAGTGGTTAAAAGCACTTGCTGTACTTCAGAGGATCTGGGATCCTCTTCAGAGGATCTCCCAGCACCTACATGGTGGCTGACAACTGTCCCTAACTCCAGTTCCAGGGGATCCAACGCTCTCTTCTGGCCTCTGTGGGCATTGCATGACGCAGGTGCACTTACACTCATGCAAGCAAAACACTCATGCACATGAAATTTTAAAAATTGGTAAAAATGTTTTTATATTAACATAAAAAATTATCTCAAAAATAGCACAGGATTTCCTTGAATGTAAGATGCTCTGCTTCCTTTCTGCAAGACCCGTGTAGGGAGTGTAAAGCAGTGGCCCTTGTAACAAACAAGTGCTGCAGAAAGGTGCAATGCTTCTGTTGCTAAAACAGCTCTCACCATGTTGCCAAGGTTTATTTAAAAGATATATTTGTTTCTATGTGTCCACGTACACATGTGTGCAGGTGCCTGCAAAGGCCAGAAGAGGGTGTCAGATCCTCTGGGGCTGGAGTTTTAGGTGGTTATGAGCCACCTAACTCAAGTACTGGGAACTGCGCTCCAGTCCTCTGCAAGAGCAGCAAAAGCTCGTAACAGCTGAGCCATCTCACCAGCCTATCACTAAGTTTTTAAATAAGGTTTGATGCCCTGAATTCTTAAGTCTGGCTTCCCAGCCATACCCATTACATCCTGCACATCTCTCTCCAAGCTAGTCGTATTAAATTCTTTTATGCTGTGTTACAATTAAACACAGAGGGGGCCATATGTATCTTGAAGCTAGAGACTTTAGGTCTTTTTAAAACTATTTTATTTATTAATTTTATTTTATGTGTATAAGTATATTGCCTGTATGTGTATAAGTGCACCCATAAGATGCAATGCCCAGGGAGGTCAGAAAAGGGCATTGGATCCCCTGGAACTGGAGCTGTGAATAGCTATTTACCACAATGTGGGTGCTGGGAACTGAACCGGGGTCCCCTGTAAGAGCAGCTAGTGCTCTTAACTGCTGAGTCATCTCTCCAGCACCGCAATACTTTGGATATTTCTTTCATTTTGTGCCGTTTCTCTGGAATAGTGCTAAAATATTTGCTGAAAGAATATTACTACATCTCGAATGTATGGATTTGCATTCTAACTACCTTCTGTTAGTATAAAGGTTGTTCTTGGTTGTGTAAAAGTAAATTATTACAATCTACAAAAGTAACAGTTAAAATTGATTAGGGAATCAATAGAAAATGAATGCAAGGAGAAAGCTAATTGGAGTGTAAGAGCCATAAATTCTTCAAGAATTCAATAATAATAGCTTCATCAAAGGACCTCAAGAATAATTACCGCAGTCCCAAGTCCCTCCATTCCCATTTTACAGATCAAGAGCATGAGGCCCTCAGGCGAGACCCTGAGCCTCAACCAGTTGAAAGGACAGTTGCACCCAGAACTGCTTTTCGGTTCACAACAGTTTTTTTCTTATAAAAACAAACAAAAAAACCACTTTGGCAAGTCACTGGCCTCATTTTGAAAATCATCTGAGCCAATATGCTAAGTCAAAAATTAAAAAGCACTTGTGAGTAATGAATGAGGAAAGTCTCCGTGGTCTCATCTGTCCACAACACGTAGGTCAACCTCTTTAAGGGGTAAAAACCCTCCTTTAATATTAAAGAGGTGCCACATTCAGCTATGAGGTAGGAAAAAAATATTAGACCGGAAAGACACCTTTGATCTAGAAGATGATTAAGAAAGTAAGGTCCCAAAATTATCCTTAGTAATAAACACATTACTCAACAGGTTTAACAACAAGCTAGGTGAGCTTGTGAAGACAGCACATGAAAGGCAAGTGCCTCATCCAAGTTTATAATTAGTTCTCTTTCTCAAGGTGATGCAGGGTGAAAACTGATCTTTGAGACCAGACAAGTCAGTTACTAGAATAGGTCATAATCAGATATTCATTTTTTTTCACATTTCAATGATATCTTTAAAACTTTCTCACTGGTGGAAGAGGACAGAGATAATTTATTATGAACAATGTCTTGAACCCTCTTGGTTCTCAAACCTTACAAACAACACACTCTTAGAGCAAAGGGCAAGTGCCTTCCCAACTTTTGAATTATACATAACACAAGATTTACTAGAAATACTTAAAAAAATCTGACGAACTGAAAATAATTTCCAGTGTGATTAACTATTATTTAATATTTTTATACTCATTTATTGTGTGCCTGTGTGTGTGTGTGTGTGTGTGTCTGTGTGTGTACACATGGCAGTCAGAGAACAGGGTAAGGAAGTCTATTCTCTCCTACCATATAGGTCCTGGGAATTGAACTCAAGTCGTCAGGGTATGCACTGAGTGCTTTTACCCCCTGAACCATTCTCATTGGCCCTGAACTTTTATTTTTCAGAAGCAGATCATGCAGCAAATATTATCACCATAAAAATACTAAAGAGACAGAGTGAGCGAGAGAGAGATTTATTCAGCTGATTTCATAAGACAATCATATATTTAAACTACATGTTAAACACATACCATTTTCTATGGTATTACAGAGGCTATGGTGTTGGGGAAATAGCCCCATGGGTAAAATGCTAACCTTGAATACCAGAGACCTTCAGTTCAATCCCCAGTACTACCTAAAACGGGGTAGAGTAGTGGCACCAGGCCTGTAATCCCAGTCACTCCAGAGGTAGAAGCTGGAGGATCACGACTCAAAGCTCATCCTCAGTCAGACCTAATGAAATGGTTCAGGGGTTAAAGGCACCTATCACAAGCCTGATGACCTGAGTTCAATCCCTGAGACCCACACGGTGGGAGAATTGACTCCTGTAAGTTGTCCTCTGACCACAAGGGTCTGCAGTGATATGTATGTGTACAAATTACACACACACACACACACACACACACACACACACACACACGCACGCACACACACACACGTGCACACACACACAAAGTAAATACACAGTAGCTGAGACAGTGCTACTTGAATAGGGAAGGACAGCAGAAGCAGCTACTGATAGCACAGCATTTTTATGTCCCAGCACAGCCTCCTGGTAACTGACACTCTGGTCAGACGTTGAAAAATCCCTCTGTGCATCAAGAACACACAGGTTTAGATATTATGAGAAAGCACAGGATGTGGCACATGTGTACCACAGGGATCAGAGCCCCTCACCTTCACAAAGCTCATGCGTATGGTACACATTTTGGTGAGCTCATAGACCGTCTCGAAACCATGATTCACAGATTGTGCCAGTAACTGAGCAAATTCTTGGTTGTTGAAAATTTTCAAGCTGCACCCACTGGGGATCTTGCAGACGGTTGTGGGATGAAATCCATGGTGGTAATTGCAGTTCCGACTCTGCACAAAGATGCTGCTGTCACTCAGGCATTCAGCATACACCTCTCCTCCAACGTAATAAAGGTGAACTCCTGCAGGAAGACAAATCATGCCAGTTAGTTACCCCAGATGCAAGGCAGCTAAGCAGCGTCAAGGTACAATTATAAGTTCATGAAGGGTTTGAACTTTGGCTAGTTACACGGCATTGTCTAAGTCCTGAACAACTAACAGAATCTTGGTTAATTGTACTGTCCTTGTGTCAAATGTGTTTAAGAAATAACAGAGAAGTCTCTCAAAAACAGTAACAAAGTATAGCAATTTCATTTTGGTTATTTAATACTCTGCTTGGCCATAGTTTAAAGTGTTTTCAAACTCTAAATAGGAAGTGTAAGAAAACCTGGACTTTATTGGGGGATCCTGTGTGTATTCACCCTATAAGGCCTCCCACATTGATGCCAGTGCGAAGTTGCTGAGAGAACGTCAGAGGAGAGACAAGGGGCACTCAGTAAAGGTGGAGGAAACACTGTAAGACAGAAGGTCTCGTTAAAAACAAAGACTGAAAACTAGAAAAAAATGTCATACTATGCGAAATAAGAGCTCAGCAAAAATAACGACCTACTGAAAGACCAAGAGCACAGGCAACAGGTCTTAGCTGGCTTTCAAAGGAAGGGAACGGGATGGCCAGCTGGCTCTCCCAGGGAAGACGGAAGGAAAAACAGACTCCACAAAGTTGGCCTCTGACCTCTGCATGCCCCCGGCCCACATCACAGACACATAAAATGAATAAAGAAAAATCCTTAAAAGAAAGAAAAGGGAAAACCCCCAGAACAAAGGCTGCTATTAAAGGACGTGACACAGCTACTAGCTGACAGTCACAGGCAGGGTGGCTTCAAATGAAAACCTTAGTCAATGTACAGCAACTGTCTCAGGAAATACCACATGGTGCTTCTCTGGACACGCGGGGGTTAGGACTTCTGTAACAACTAAATACCTGCTGTGGTAGAAAGTTGTTTTTTTGGTCTGATTCAGAGGAATCTACAAGAAAGCTTTTTTTCCCTTTGATTATAAAAATAATGAATTTTCATTTTTAGAAAATTTAGGCAATAAATCAAAATACAGAGATGCAGAAAATATTCCTTTAGTGTTAAAGGAATCAGCTGTTACTATTTTAAATTACTGTATCTAGATTTATGTATTATTAAAGTTTCCTTGTAAATTTCTGCATGATTGTGTGTGTGTGTGTGTGTGTGTGTGTAACTTATTTACTGATTCCCACATCAGTGGACCACTGTGTTGATACCAATTTTCTGCTATTATCTGAATGCCATGATAAATGTCACAGGACAGTTTTTACTAATATTCATAAGACAGGTTCCTGGAAGTTAAATCACTGGATCGAAGGCTTTTGAATCACTTTGCCAAACGACTTTCCAGAACATTTGTATTGGTTTATACCACATCAGCAGTGTGGGAGCACTTTGTTCATCTGACCCATACCAGCATTGAACCTGAGATTAAACAAAGGCAAAGTCCCTAGTTCGTAGTTGAAAAACAATGTAATTGCTTTAATTTGCACATGGGGCTGGGCATGCTCTCACGGTTTATTAGCCATTTGGGTATCTCTGGTAAACTCACTGTCTCTAGTTCTCACCTATTTATCCCACTGGGGTTCTTGGGTTTGTATTATTTTTTCATGAGCTGAAATAATAGGCCAGATATAAATAATTTATCTCATGTCTCTCTGCTCCCCTTTTGTGTTTCCATTTTATTCATGATGCGTACTTTTTAACCTAGAGAACTTTGAAATCCTTTAGTCAAATCTCTTAGGATCTTTTTGGAGGTAGAAAACCTCTACCTCTTAGATCAAATGTATTTCATCTAGCTTTTTAATTGTTTGCCTTTTATGAATACACATTAATCCAGTCAAGTGTGGTATGAGGTCAGGATATCTCCCCACCACCCTCAGGCCTCTCCAAAGCTAACTTTGTACTGCAGGACCATTAGGGGACTCTACTGGCCTGTTATGATCACTTAACATTAAACTTTTATATACAGTACAGTCTGTGTTTAATTTACTCATTGTCTCATCTATACACTGATTTACTTGTAGCTTTTCACTGGTTTATCAGTCCTAATACAAAAACTTTTTCTTTAGAGTCCATTTTAGATTTACTATTCTTATTTTTCCAAGTAATACTGGATATACATTATCCAACTTTCACAAAACATCATACTGGAGTTTAATTTGTTATAAACACAAAAGAATTTAGGAAGAATTAATAGCTACTTAAATGCTTTCACAATATTAAGCCATCCCTTTAAGGAACACTACCTATTTATCCAATTTTCTTTCTCTCTTAGTATAAAATTTGATTTTCTTTAGTATAATTCTCATATATTACAGGTTCAGCTTATTTCAAAGAAATTAGTGCTTTCTGTTGCTACTAGGGATCAGATTTTCCCCTCCAATTTATTTTCTAAGTAGTTCTGATTGCTATGTTAGGAAAAAATGGAGATACAAGCTTCTTGGTAAACACACACACACACACTGCTCATCTGTAAGCTGGCAGGAGTGAAAAGACACAGACTTGTACATATCTAGAAAGAGCAGAGATTAATAAAAGCTTTAATTTGGCAGCATATATCAAGGACTCTGGCCTACTAGCTTCACTCAAGAATCTACCCCAAGAATACTATCAGTCAGTCATGTCATCTACAAATGCTGCTAACCTTGGCACCCTCCCATGATCTATATAATTCTGCATGGTACCCCTCAGGCATCTGGAAGAACTTTAAGTAAGAGCATTCCCAGAATCCCTATTTCCCTCCTAACTTTTTAAGAGGAAATTGTACATTTTTTATGGCTTTGGGGGAACAGTCACCTTTACAATTTAATGAAAAATATATTCCCCATGATAAATGTGTTTACACATGACTTGAGAGACTTGCAGGTCCAGGAAGACACCTGTGTGTGCTACCTACTCAGGAGCTACCATTCCACCATGGCTGAAACTCATGTTTTCTTTTCTTATCATACATATGAAGGGAATGTCCATCAATGTCTACTTAAAGGATTGTTGGGGTTCCTTTTTGAATCTAAGTTCAATATTAAAGCTTTGTCTCAAATGCCTCTTAAGTCCGTGTTAAAATAACCTTTTAAACTGGTTTACTGCTATAAACTGCCCAAGCTTTCAAAAATTTTTACTCTGGAAATAATTTCAAACATAAAAAAAGCTGAAGTAGAACAAAGAGCAACGAAAAAGAGAACAGAGAACATGAGGTAACCGTTATCCAAGGTCGTCTGCTGCACAATGCAGCTCACTTGCCCTGTCACTCAGGCCCTCCCGCCTGCTGCGCACACATGCGTGTACACACACACACACACACACACACACACACACCCCTGTATGCATTCTTTAGAGACAGATAGTAAGCACAGACATTTTTATACATATATACTTTTTTCCTGCACCATTTCAAAATGACTCTTTATCGCTAAACACTTAAGTGTACAAGTGTGCATTTCCTAAGGAGCACATGACACATCTTATATACACAATACAGTTTGCAATGCCAGGAAATTCAAGCGATACATACCTTTATCTAATGTGCATACTCCTGTTTTGTCTGATGTCTTCAAGTACCCTTTCTAGTATTTCCCCTTTCTATAGAGTTCAGGACTATGCCAACAGTCAAATCTTAGAGACAGCTATTATATCCTTTAATCTTGAATTGGGAATATTTCTGCATCTTTTTTTGACAGATATTTCATATTTCTCACTCTTTTAAACTTTATTTTTATTTATGTGCATGTGTGTGTATGTGCATGAGAATGCCTGTGGAGACCAGAAGAGGGCCTAAGATCCCTCAGAGCTGGAGTTACAGATAGTTGTGAGCAGCCTAATGTGGGTGCTCAGACCTGAGCCCAGGTCCCCTGCAAGAGCAGCAAATCCTCTTAACTGTTCAACCATCTCTCTGGCCCCCAATCTACACTCTTTAAAACAGACTGCTTCTCATGTGGATTTGTCTGATGTGTCCCCAGGATTGGGTCAGATTCACATTTTCAAGTGGAATTCTGGGAGGGTGATGTCCCTGGCCTCTCAGGGCTCCCCATCTGGAGGCATATGTTACCCATCTGACTCTCAGTGGTGACGTCAAGATGGGGGAAATCAATCAGACAATTTACTACTCTGCATCTTTACTCGCCTTTGAAAGTAATACATCATTTGTGGAGAAACACTTTAAACCCATAGAAATATCCTGATTCGTATAAAAATTTCTCCTTATATTCGGCATATAGTGATGATTCTTTTTTTAAGAACTACATTTACTTATTCATTTTCATGAGTGTGTGGTATGTAAGCATGTACAGCATGTGCCACGGCTCGTGTGTGGAGGTCAGAGGACAACTTTTAGGAGTCGGTGCTGTCCTTCCACCACGTGGAAATGGGGATCAAATTCAGGTGGTTGCGCTTGGTGGTAAGCACCTTCGCCGTCTTGTAAGCCCTACACGGATGGTTCTTGCTCGGTCTTTACCACAGTGGTTGCAAAAATGATGATTTTTGTATTCTAGCACTTGCTTTACATTTATCCATCACCCTTCCCAATTAATTTATTCCTCTATTTATGATTAGTATGGCCAAATAAATTATTTATTTTTATTGTATGTATATGAGTGTATTGCCTGCATATATGTAAGTGTGCCTGTGTCATGCAATACCCGTGGAGCCAGAAGAGGGTGTTGGGTTTCCCTCGAACTGGAGAACAGAGCTAACAACGAACTGTTGTTAGCTGCCATGTGGTTGCTGGGAATCGAACCCAGGTCCTCTGCAAGAGCAGCCAGTGCCCTCGACCGCTGAGCCATCTCTCCAGCCCCTGAATTCCTCTTTTTAAAAAATGTCTTACTTTTATTTTGTTCACTAATACTACAAGATAATTTAGCGTAGAGTGCAATATGACTATGGACATGCTCAGTTACTTTTTTCTTTTTCTTTTGGCTTTGAGTTCTTGGTCCTTCAGCTGCTTAGTCTTCTGAGTGGAGGCATTAAAACATTACACCTGGCAGTTTTGTTTAAAATTCTTTGCTGCAGAACTTTATCTGTGGATTCTGAATCCAGTTTCAATTACCCACAGAAGAAAAATGTTTTTTTTAAGCAGCAGTACCAACACTACTACATACAGATTCTGCCTTATCGTGATTGATTAAACAAATTGTGTAGTATAACAACTGTTTACATGGCCCTGACAGTGTGGAAATGTAACACATCTAGAGAGGACCTAACAAGGGAGGATGTACACGGGCTCTATGAAACACGTTTTATAGGAGGGAATTGAACACCCATGGATTTAGTGCTCTCAGGGGTCTGGGACAATCCCTCCACAGATAGCAAAGGACAACTGTACTTTGGTACCGAAGTGCTCTCGCTGTGCGGTAGAAGCCGCTACAAGTCGGCCCCTGGAAGGCGCTATCATTTCCTCATTACTTCCTCCCTTTTGAGCCGTTTCAAGCTCATCTTGTCTTGGCTTAGGACCAGCCTTGGTTCCTCCGAGTTGGGAAAAAGTATTAGCAGTGATGATCTGGGCACGGGATGTGCTTATCGCTACTGGGCATCTTTGCTTCTTGGCCCTTTCAGTAGACAGAACAGAAACTGAATGCATGTTCAGACTGTAGAGAGATAGGTTCATAAATAGACAGACAAACACACAAGCACATAAACACATTATTAAGTTATGATTTTACACTGACACCTCCACAGACCGTCACACCCCTTTCTTGACTCCATAGTGAAAATGGTGCTCTGAGCATTACCCACACATTTAAGCACATAGCAAGTCACAGTTCCAGCCAGCTCCTATCAATATCGTGACAGGGAAAATGCTAAAATCACCAAATAGAAGAACTTCTAGAAAATACAAATTTGAAAAATACTTCCAAACTGCAGCCACTGAACATTAGTTGGTGTTTGCCATGGGAATGACAGTCACTTCTGGGGTACCAGGGCTACACGAGATGGACATCTAGAAGAGGTAACGGGAAGACTACCTTTTCCAATATGCCGTCTGGTGTTCTCAATAGTAGAATTCCGGTTAACGTTGGAGAGCAGCCCAAGGCAGAAGCGGTTCTTGTTGTTGGAAGGATCAGTGAAACCATCCACCAGCACACTTGTGGAGGAGGCATGGAACGCCTCACCCACACGGTTGTTGAGCTCATAGTAGACAATAGAGCACCAGTGTTTTGGTTCCTCATATGCAACTGCTTGAACATCTGTAAGAAGGAAAGACAAGGTTCTATATCAGTCACGGTTTGCACCTGGAGCGCCCCCAAACTGAAGCTGCACTGTAAAGCTGGCTCAGCACTATGGAATGAAGACAGAGGAGGGCAGCTGCGATTACCAAGTAATTTAATTTTTCTATGAGGTCTGAAGCACTTCTTATTAAGGGTGGCGTTCTCCTTTAATTGGGGAACAATTTTCTTCAATGACTAGCAGAAAACCAAAATACCAGCTAAACAAGCCTAGTGACAGCAGTTGCTGAATACTAATGACCTACTACTTGCTCTTTAACATGCAGAAAGGAAATCACCCCTACCATAGACCCTGGCACACCATCTAAAAAACCCAACAAGTGACAAGTGAAAAAGCAAGTGGGACAGAACAACAGAGAGCTGGAGATGTGCCGGAGGGCTGGCACGGGAAGGAGCTGCTTCTGGCAAAGCCTGGGTGTACCTACGTGTTCTCAAAGCCCTCAAAATTAACTTGTAACTCCGGGTGAGACTCAGCTTGACTTCATACGAGGTTGCCAGTGATGACCACAGCTCTAGTTCTGCTGTGATTCTAACTCAGGAAGTAATCTTGCCAGCTGGCCATTCTCACAGAGTGAATCATATCTCTCTCATCCAGATTTCATGCTAACTCCCTTATATCTGCTTTAAGTCATGCAGAGCAGGTGTGTTTTGTCTCTCCATTCCCAGAATGGGCCAACAATGGAAATTACCCAACTTTACTGACAGGATGCAGCTTGTTAAGTCAAATCTCTTAAGACTAACTAATCTCTAAACAAAATGTGCTTCTAAATGCTTTTAACTAAAAAGTTTGAAGATAAGTTGCTTCTGTAGCAAAACCTCTTGTAACACTGCTTTAGAGATTCCAGGAACACAAATCACAAAATTTCTAACAGACCAAGTCTATAGTGATCTGAGGTTCATGGAGTCTTAGGTGTACAATCCTAAGAAATGGAAAGAAAATCCACAGTCAAACACGGTTAAGGGAGAAGAATTTGTTTTTAATACCAACCTGAAATTCACCTCATTTTAGAATTTGGTTTGAAAAAACAAACAAACAAACCCCCCCCAAAACAAAGAAAATGTTCATCTAAAAACCTACCCAGGGTCTTAGTTACTTTATACGCTTAAGTGGGTCCGCTGAAAATACATACACTATTTCCCTTGTTTGCTAAACAACTAAGTCACACCATCCGTGACAGAAGGCCTTTACTAGTTATCAGAGTGTTCAAAAATACTATTCATCTAGGTTAGAAGCTGACACACTTTCCTTCCTATAAAAGGCCAGAAAGATTTTGTAGGGCATATGGTCTTGATCACAATTCCACTCTGACTTTGTAGTACAAAAATGGTCTTAGATAATATGTAATGAATGGGCACAGCTGTGTTCTAATAAAGCTTTATTTACAAAAGTAGACAGCAGCCTGACTGGTCTGTGGGCTGTAGCTTGCTGACCCCTGCTCTCGGAAAACCATCAAGGGCAGCAACAGGAAAGAGGTTAACATTCCTTCCTGTGGAAATAGTGTAAATCTACTCTAGTGGGGAACATTTTAAAAACTGCTTAAAGGAAAAAATCTTAAAAGTAAGGTCTCTATTTTGGGAAATAGGCCTAATCTTCACAATATAGTTACAGGGTCCACAGAGAGTACAGTACTGTATCCATGACTCCTGCTATACTGCTCCCCAAACAGAAAATCCAAACATGGGTGGGGTAGGGGTTCTTTTCTCAGACTCTATGTGTTTACTGCTAAATATATGGTTAAGAGAATGTTCTAAAGGTGACCAGGAGCCATAAAATAAAGGAAAAAAAAATTAAAGTCTGATTTAAAAGCTGTGTATTCTAATTTACTTCACTGTACATCTAAGATTCTTTGGGATTATTATCACTGTTGAAACAGTTTAGGGTCTCAGCAAAGCTGAGCATAAAGCAGAGCCTTCTCATAGGCCCTCATCCCCGACACATGCACAGCCTCTCCCACTCCTCTCACACTCCAAGATCCCCAGCCAGTCAGTATAATCAAAGAACCTCCAAGAACACATCGTGTCCTCTGAAAGACCAGAGGCAGCATTAGGGACACTCTTGGAGTTACAGTCTATGGGTCTGAACACATGTATAGGACAGATAGCAATTATTACAATATCATATAGATAGCATCAAATTTTAAAAACGTAAGCAATTCTGAAAAAGTCTGAGGCACCTCCTACTTTACTAAAAACAGTGTTAAGATTAAAGTAGGATGAATCTAGCCACCAAACTGATTTTAATGTCATTTTGCTTTGCGCCCACGCTGACAGCTTGGTGAGGCGCCTCCTGCAGGAGTTACTGACTTGGAGCTTTTACTCAGCACAACACCATGATACCTCACGGTGGCTCAGTGACTGTCTGGGGGTGCTCAGTGACACTAGCACCCGCCCTCTGCACTCTATCGAGCACACTCAGTTTAGCACTGGGGACCTGGGAAACAGGTGGCGCCTCCACCTAGTCACAGTCCTGAGGCTAAAATGGAGCTGGCAGTGAAGGCTTGCCCTTCAAGCAGAGGGGGAAAGCAATGTTCAGTTCTGCTTGTAAGTTCTTCACAGAGAAAGGTGGAAAAACTTGTGTTTTCATTTCTTTTGGCAGCAAAGTTAGGATCTAATAGAGGGGGAAGGAAACAAATGCTGGTAAGTAGCAGTGACAGAACAGGGCTGGGGACAGACGGTTTGAGTGTCTATTCTATGACCAAAGAAATCTGGAAACCCAGCTGTATGAATTTCTAATTTTGACAATCACTGCTGGAAACAACACTCTAGGAGATGGCCTCTCAGGGCCTCCTGCCCAGTGCAAGACATTGCTTCCAGCCCCGATTCTATGCCATCACTTACTGAAGACACAAACATCGAAACAGATGACCATATACCTGCACCCTGGCCTTCATTAGTTAAGCTGGTGTTTGTGCTCTTTAAGAAAGACAAAGGAAAGTATAACCAAAGAGTAAAGTGATCAGTACATTTCTTTAAGAGTTCAAGGGATTATACTTCCTAGACATTAAGCTTAAGTCCATATAAAAAGTTATTTAGACAATTATTTCTCATTGATGATTTTGTTCCTAAGCAGAAAGTGCTGCTCAGATGTAAGACTTCAAATCTTGGTCTGCAATACTGTAGTGCCCACCTGTAGCTAAGGGAGACAACCAGCTATTGTTCTAAAATGATAGATAAATTTGTTTTCTCCCCCTATCTAGAAGCCCTTGAGAGGGACCTGACACTATTTCTAACCACTTCAACAGCTATCAAAATACCTGAAAGCAAATCCTGAATCCATTTCTCTAGAGTCCAGCCTTGGAAGACAAAAGAAAAATGAGGAGGAACCCAATAGAGGGATGCTTTTGGACCAATGGACTCTCATTATGAACATTTGAAAATTGCCCTGTTCTGACTTTTTTTCTACTTCCCTGTCTAGAACTTATAATGCTAACTACTCTCCTTCACATCTCCTATGCACCAGTCAGAAACTTTCTTTTCCCCCTACAGAAAAGAGTTATGCAATTTGGGAGTTTTTTAGATAGACCCACTGAAGGGGTACCCCAATTGCCTCACCCTGTGTCCCTGTTCAGCATGGAAGAAGCCAGAGAGGTCTGCACCAGAGCAGTCATTGGTAATTTGGGTAAATCCTCCAGGGGATGGCATGATAGGTAGGAATTGGCTAGGCAGTTAAGGTAAAAAGACCCTAAAGAAAAGTAGCCAGTTTCTTGGCTAAAAGTCACAATGTCCTTGGGCCTTTTAGCATCATACTCAGTTCCAAAGGCCAAAAATGTTGAAAGTATTTGGGAGCTTTTATCTAATCCTTAAAAGATTTTAGGGTTATGTCTTCAGAGGGGAAAATGCTGGAGTAGTAAAGAGCCCCATTAAAAAATAAAAAAAAAAGATGAGTACATGAAGTTATCAGAAAGAAGTGATGGGGAGATACGGGAGGAGTTGGAGGGGAGGGAGTGGGCATGGATTTGATCAAAACACCTTATATGCATGTATGAAATCCTCAGTAAATTATTTTTTAAAAAAGCACATTTGCTACACAAAACAGGGTTTAAAGCTTTACCACTTGCAACCCTTTTACACCTGAAAAATTTTTGTACAACCTTGAGTATATATAAGTACCTAAAGCAAGTATGTACATTGTGTATTTATTGTTAATAAATCATAAATAAATATAGTTTTACAAATTCATATATATACACACCACTTTACACCTACCAAAGGCAAAAGCGAATATGCATAGTAATGAGACAGATATATCCCCTTTTTTACATAAAGAATTAAATCTTGGCTGAATACTTAACACTACAGGATGTAGAGCATCTTTCATCTTTTTCAGAGTGAGATAAGTTTGATTTTATAATCACCAATGCTGAAATGCCACTCCAGTTAAATACACAGTATAAAATGAAGGAAATATGTTTAGGACCACTTCAGTAACTGCTGGAGATTCTATCCTAATCCCAACAAGACTTTTTGAACAATTTTATATGAAACCTAAGTCAGCAACTCAAATGGTGATTTTTAAAATCAAACACCCTAACACAGTACAGTCCAACGATATACTACTCTGATATATGCTGAGGAATGATTTGGATAATATCTTTGTTTTCTGTAATGAAATCATTATGTTTCTGTAAGAGCAAAAAACCCTGCATATACAGTAAGAACACCACAATCCATAACACAACAGTCTTGAATCTGAGCCCTGGTGTCCCAGGCAGCATTTGCTGGCCTTGACGGGCATACATGGTGAAGTCTCTCAGTAAGACACAGGCGAGCACAGCCAGAAAAGTCATGGATTCATCACAGGACTGGCTTTGAATTAATTTTGGTAGCTGTGCATCAAGTTCAGAAAAGTTCTATTCTTGCTCTGTTTCCCACAGTCCCACATTCAGTTCTGTGCTCCCATACAGGGTCGAGACCTACAGTCTAGTAAGAAGCTGACTCTAGAGAATTCTTTTCATTGGACTCTTTTAAAAATGCGCTGTATTTTTATCAAATAGCTGCCTTTTTAAGGACTAATAAAACTTGATGAAAGTAACATTTGGACATACAGACATCAGACTCGTAGAATAAGCAGCAATGGGTTTTACCTCCTCTGTTGAGTTCTGAGGGCAGGGAGGGTGCCATCATGTTTGTGTCCATCGGCTGAGAGCCATCCTGTGCCATGGGGTCTTCAGGAGGCAGGTAAGCAGGTGGAGGTGTATCAGCTACAAAGTATCAAAGAAAAACCAATTACACGTGTCAAACATATTCTCTTCTATGTTGAGATTCCTTGTGTATGTGTGTGCATGTTCGTGTACTAGAGGACAGACCACCTTAGGAGTTGTTCCTCAGATGCTGTCCACCTTAAAAGTATTTTTTTACATTTATTTATTGTAGTGCTGGGGTACATTTGGGGGGTCAGAGACAACTCGGGGGAGTTAGTTCTCTCCTTCCACTATGTGGGTTCCAGAAACTGAACTCAGAGCATCAGGCTTGGTGGTAAGTGTCTTTAATCCATGGAGACATCTTGTTGGTCCTCACCTTTAAAAACAATATGCTCTCTCATTGGTGAGAAAGCCCCAGGAAGCTGCCTGTCTCCTTTCCTGGTGCTGAGATCCCACACTGGAAGACTAGCTAAGCATGACGGTACATGCCTATTATCCCACTACTTGGGAGGTGGAGGCAGGAAGATCCAGAGTTCAAGGCCAGAGTTGGCTACTCAGACCCTGCCTCACCCCCCACCTCCAAAAAAAGACTGGGTGCTCAAGACGCTGGACTTGTACAGTTTCTGCAAATTATTATATCCCCAAACCCTCGATTTTCAGGAGTCGCCTGCCTGTCTAGGACCAGGCCACTTTAAATCCAGTGAGAAGGATATTTAATATATAGCACACGACGGGCTCTGAGAAGTCCTGTATTTCAATTTCACTGTATAGAAACTGCCTGAGAGGATTTGCTGAGAAAAGGTGCTTTCATGCCGCATACATTAAATGTATGGGCTTTCAGGAATTTACTAGCCAAGTTCATTACAGTCTACTGATTTAGACTGCTAACTTCCCATAACTTTAAGCAATCCGTTAGGACTACCTTCTCCCTCCCCATTTAAGCAATTACTAGCTATAAAATCCCTAGTAATAGAATCACAGGAAATAAGTCAATTTATCTCCACTGCCTTCTGTTTCAGAATTTACACAGGTTTATTTTGAACAGTACACAGCCAACTGGCAAATGAAGGCAAGGAACAGGATTTCTGAACACATTTATGCAAGTCTGGTGCTTTCTGACTGGGAAACAGGGCATTCCTTTCCCTGTACTCTAAAACTAAGCTCCTCGCTAGCTTGTGAGTTCACTCAGCAAGCCTTGGGAACAAAATTTCACCTCAGGGATTCCTGACTGCTTACGTAGGTACTTATGGGCAACTATAGAACCCAAATGACAAGCTCTGCTCCTTTAGCACTTCCGAGTGACTCACCCCCGTGCCCCCACCCCAGCTAAATCTCAACCCAGCTGCTAACAAGCAGGGAGAGAGCCAAGGTCTCCAGGGACCTCCCCACATGCCTTCTCAGCCTCCCCAACCCTCACCCCAGCTTCTTGCTTCAGCTGCAAGGCTCATTCTGCTTTACCTCAAGCCAGGATCCAAGACAGAGTTCTCCTCTTCGCAGAACCCCAAATTTCTTTCTTTCTTTTTTGGGGGGTTATTTTTATTTTATGTGTGTGAGTGTATTGCCTGCATGTATGTTAAGTGCACCCATGTCGTACAATGCCCATGGAGGTTAGAAAAAGACATCAGATCCCCTGTAACTGAAGTTACAGACAGCTGCTAGCTGCCATGTGGGTGCTGGGAATTGAACCCAGGTCCTCTGCAGTAACAGCTCATGCTCCTAATTTCTGAGCCATCTCTCTAGCTCCGGAACCCAGAATTTCTGCCAACAAGCTGATGAAAATCTTACCAGCAACCCAAGGCACCATCATGGCCTACAGGGGCTGGATAATTACTGGTGGAGGTCCAGTATTCCCACAAACACTCCTTCCTCTTTTCCCTATTTCCTCCCCTGGGCCTTTGCTTTAATTCCTGTCAGCCAAGGACAATAGTAAACTCAAGCAACAGTCTTCAATTCTTTCATCAGGGCCCACCTGGAGTTGTTCCTACTCAAAAGTTCTCTGAAAGGGTCTCCTCACCACTAATCTATCTGTCAGACCCAAAGGTCTTGCCAGGGAATGGGTGAACAAAATGTTATTAGTTTGGTTATTAAAATAATCTATCTCCCACCTTCATCCCAAATAGGAAAACACAATCTAAAATTAACAGGCTGAAAAGAAAAAGGAGTGATAACCATTAAAAAATAAAAAAATAGGGGCTGGAGAGATGGCTCAGCGGTTAAGAACCCTGGTTGTTCTTGCAGAAGACCCGGGTTTGAATCCCAGCACCCACATGGCAGCTAACAACTGTCCATAACTCCAGTCCCAGGGGATCTGACAGCCTCTTCTGACCTCTGCGGGCATTGCAACCACACAGGTGCACTTACCTACATGCAGGCAATACACGCATACACATAAAATAAAAATAATAAATAAAATTAAAATAAATAAATAAATAAAGTGTGGACCACTTTTCAAATTTTGAAGGCTCAATGTGGATGCTGAATTCAAAATTAATTAAAAACACTTTAAATAGCTCCACAAACGTGTTTGCCTAAGTCATTTTCCCTTACAAAAATATTCAGAGATGTGTCCACAGCACCCTCTTGATGTCTACTGGCAAGAAATTTGGCACTAATTTGGGGGGATGCTTGTTTACGAACCTGTAATTTGGAAAATATAATGTCCTAATTAATCACTTATTTTGATAACCATTACACCATCCGTTATGACTAAAACAGGAAAATAACTGTTTTTTGTCTCTGCTAACTTAAACAAGCAGATGGTTTCCAGCACTTCTGTTGCAATTCCTTTGTTGTTAAAGTATATGCTTCTTGGGATTACATCATCATCTAAATGAATTTAATTAAATGGGGGGTGCAATCCCTCGGGAAAGAGCTTTTCTGTGGCTGCACTGGCAGCAAGTGCTCTTCTGTGAAGTGTTCGCTGAGGCCCCTTCATGGAACAGCAATGTGTGCAACATGCTATTTTTCCTTTCTTTACTGGAGAGAAAGACTGGAACAATTACACCACTCCCAGAAGGACGCAGCTGTTTCGAAACTCTTAAAAACACAGGGAAAATACAGCTTTATTCAGGCATCTGTGCCAAACGAATCAAACGGGCCACTGGCTTGCCTGCCTGGGAGTGTCTCCTTCCACAAATGGCATGCTAAAGCCCTGGTGCAAGGACCACGCTCCTGGCCTGGGACCTCCCTGCAGGCGAGCCCCCCCTCCCCACGGCACCGTGGGTCCCTGAACGTCCACCCCCCTCCTACCTGGCATCTGGAAAGGGCTGCCCGGGTCTGAGCTGGTGGGGGAGTGAGGGTAGGTGCTACTGCTGCTGCCGGGAGAGTTGGGGTAGCTGCTGTTGGGAGAGTGGGGAAACGGGTGGCTGTTCGACTGCTGGAAGGAATCTGGAAACGTGGCATTCAGTGGCATGTGAGGTTCGTTTTGGCCCAGGTTGCGGAACTGAGCCAGGAGGCTGTGCTGAGGATTGTACTCGCTGTGTCTTGGAACCAGCACTGGAGGAAGAACTGAAAATGGAAAAAAGAAAGGTAAATACTGGTGATGTCCTCACAGTGAGTGAGGACAAACGCTCTGAACCCCACTCAAAAGCAGCACTCAGACGGAGAGTCAGTTTACACTGGGAACCAGTTCTGGCTCTTAAGTCCACAGGCACCCTGGGGTCTGAGGGCCACTGCCCGCTGCCCCAGAAAGGCCTGTAAAACAGACACAGCTGTAGATGAAAACTGTGACTTTCCCCATTCTTCATATTTTTTAAATTTATTATTTTTATTTTATGTGTATAAGTGTATTGCCTGCATGTGTGTATAATAAGTACACCCGTATTGTGCAGTGCCCATGCAGGTCAGAAGAGGGTGTAGGGTAATTCCCCTCAAACTAGAATTAAGGTTGTCAGCCGCCATGTGGATGCTGGGAACTGAACCCAGGTCCTCTGCAAGAGTAGCCAGTGCTCTTAACCACTAAAGCCATCTCTCCAGCCCCACTTTTCCTCATTTTAAATTTGCCTAGTGACTAAAAACTAAAACACAATTAACAATAAACATCACTGGCCAGCCAGATGGCTCAGTCAGTAAAGGGGCTTACCATAAAAGTCTGACAACATACGTTTGATCCTTGGAACCCACATAAAAGTAGACAGAGAAAACTGAATCCATAGTTGTCCTCTGAACTCCACTCACTGTGGGCACACGCGCGCGCGCGCGCACACACACACACACACACACACACACACACACACACAAACACAAATACTTAGGGAAGTCTTTACCAGGGGATTTTTTTTGGACATAGCAAAATAGTTTGCATTTCTCTGACTCTTGGAAGGTTTAAGTCAAAAATAACCATAGTTTTAATGTCCTGCTTTAGGCAGACTCCATCACTATGCTAAAAAGAAATTACATTGATTAGGTTCTAAAGACTTGTTTCTACAGCATCAAATACGGAAATTAACAGATGTCATTGCTCTATGATTGTTGACTAACTCAAGGTATAGTATGAAAAATTTTAATGCTTCCCCAAACCTAGTTTTATAAACACTTTGCAGTTAAGTCAGTGATAATCCAAGTATGATCATATTTGGATCACCAACACCTACAACCCCAGCACTCAGGAGGGAGACTGAGGCTGAGGGGTCTCAACGGTGAGGCTACATACTATAATCTTGCCATTGACAATTGTGCTTTACAGTTGTGCTAAGATTTGAGTTAATAGTGATTGAACGATGCTAATTATTTACCACAAATGTTTTAACTGACACACTAACTCCCTTTAAAACAAAAAGCAGCAGAGTAAGGTAGAAGTCAACACAGTGAGCATGTAACATCCAAAGGCCAGGGAATATGGTCACCCAGGTAGCATATGAAGTTCTGTGGAGCCCAGTTTATGCTGCGTCCTGTCCTGGCAGCCATACTTACACCCTTTCTCTCATTATCTGAATGAATTTGCCCACTTCTCAGCCATCCTTAATGTCACATGATAGGACAAGGAGGACACAGAGGTTTTGACCACATTCTGCTCACTGAAAACTCAAAATGGGATGGTCTAAGAGGTAGACACCTGGGGCAAACATAACTGTCTCTCCAGAAAGCTACAGGTTAGGAACTCAAGAAGCTGGACATCAGTGTGGTCAGCAACTCCCAGAAACCTCCAGGCAGAGCCATCACCAATACAACTACCTGGAGGGGATGGGCTGCCTAATGATGCAGTGCAGAGCCCTACCTTGGGGATTACATCAGATCCCAAGTTCCCATTCCCCCAAGGGTTGTTAGACGGCTCCTCCTAATGACAAAGTCTTTGGAAGCCCTTCTGCCCTCTTGGCCTCAAATGAGAGAAAAACAATGTTTTTAAAACTGCTCAGGAGAAGGAAGGAGATTCTAAAATATGCTGCTGGGATTCGTAGGCAGACTCCAAACATATTTCCTTAAAGAAACATTAGGCTTTCCAGGGAATCTGTTCAGGTCCTATGGCTTGTCCACTGGGAAATATGATCATACTTGGATTACCACCAATTTAGCTGCAAAGTGTTTATCAAAATAGGTTTGGGAAAGTATTAAAATTTTTCATACTATACCTTGAGTTGGTCAACAATCATAGAGGAATAACATTTAATTTCCCTATTATTTCATCTTGTAGAAACAAGTCTTTTGAGCGTAGCCTAATCAATAATGGAATCAGCCTAAAGCAGGACATTAAAACTGGTTATTTTCTACTTCAACCTTCTAGGACTCAACTGAAATGCAAACTATTTTGCTATGTCCAAAAAGGGGGAAAAAAAAAAATCCCCTGGTAAAGACTTCCCTAATGTTAGCAGAAATCTATCATTAAGAAATAAATTTGTGCTATGAAATAAACAGTTCAATATATTTAAATTACTTATATAGCCACAAACATTCCTTTTCTTTTAGCTGCTGCAGCCTGAGTTACCACTTCCAGATCAGCCACCCCGCCTTCCCTCCCTTTTATTTCTGCAACTGGGTCCCACGTAGCCCATGCTGGCCTCAAATGCCTTCACGTAGCTGTGGATGACCTTGTACTGACTCTCTTGCCTCTGTGCTATCACTTCCAACTGGCCAATACACCTCTCTCTTTTCTTTGCTTTTGTGATCAGGTCTCACGTAGTCTACACTGGCCTTCAACTCTATGTAGCTGAGAATGATTCTGAACTCCTGAGTCTCTATTCTCCACCTTTCAGGTGCTGGGATTACAGGCATGCACCACCATGCCTGGCTTTCTCAACTGTCTTTAATGGTCATCATCGACAGTTTCAATTAACTACTTGCTACAAACACAGCACCAGACGGCATGATTCTACTTACTAAAACACCTATTTTAGTGGCTCCTATTGCCTAACAGCTTTAGAACTGAGGACTTAACTGTTCCTACTGCCTGCAGGTGGGGTGGCCAGAGGGGAAAAATTCAACTTTATAATATGACAGCAAAGGGCACTATGTTTCTGCACCCCAAGTTGACACTGCATAGGCCCTGCAGTCCCCTGTTGTGTGGTTGTGATCTGCTCCAAGGCATAGTGCTGAGCTGGCCCTAGTATACATCACAGATGAGATCAATCAGCTTTTAATACATGACCTTGGACGTGAACTATCAAGTACAGCAGAGGCACTAGACAGATGAACTTGACAAGTGACCTTCTTTTTTCATCTCTGATTGTTTTACTTTTCACAGCACTGGGGGTCAAACCCAGGGCCTTGCACATGCTAGGCATGCATTCTACCACAGAACTGCACCCAGGCCCCAACTCGTGATTATTAAGTTGACTTTGCCATTGCTGATACCAGTTCAGGTACGTCTTTAAAAAGCTAAGCTATTCTGTACAAATAGTAAAATGCAGAAGTTGTCACATAAATTAAACGTTCTAAATGCTGGACTCTGTCTTCTTTGGCTCAACCGTTATGCTTCCGAGATCTGAGATTCACTCACTTTTATGCATAGCATCTTAACTCTGTGCACCTGCAATTTATCGGATGACACAATTAAATCTTCTGGTGAACTGGGCTGTTTCAGTGTGGGATCACTGTAATAAAGCCTCATGAACATCCTCTTAGGTCACTTCTTATTTTGAAATAAATGTAAACTTGGGGGAAAATTCCAATAATAAAAGACCTCATATCAGCTGTACCCAGATTCATCCATTTTTCTTTTTAAAAGTATTATTACTGTATGTGAGCACATGTGATATATGTGTAGGTGGGTGTGCCACAAGTGTGCCTATGGAAGTCAGAGGACAATTTTGTTGAGTCGGTCCTGTCCTTCCACTTTTATGTTGGTTCCAGGGATCAAACTCAGATGACTAAGTCTGCACGACAAGCATCTTACCTACAGAGCCATCTTGCCTGCCTGATTCCATTTTTAACATTTAGCCATATTTACATAATCATTTACTCTCTTTCCTTCTCCTGCTCCCAATACCCCCTACCAAATCCCTAATAATAAAAGAACATGTAAAATATACTGTATGCCCCTTAACTCCTAACATTTCAGAGTGTTACATGATATTGTTAACCTCCGTACACATATTACCACTGCTGACAAAGTAACTGTTGATGCTTTTATCCAAGTTATTTTACAGTGCATCTCTCAACCTGGGTTTCTCTGATAGTTGCTTGTGATTAAACCCAGAGTCTTGGCTAAAGGACTATGCGAGTGCCATGACTCCCTTCTCTGGATTCATACGGAGGCCAACAGTGTCTGCCTGTTAAATTTCATTTTCCTGGTTAGGCTGTGGTCCAGTTCATCCTGTCTACATTACTACTCTCTTTTGGAAATTACCAGTGAGCAGTGTCCTCTAAACTAGGTAGACGACGTAGACGGAAGTTTCTTATCAAACCTTCCTGTATGTAACATTCATTTGTGATTTTGAATCAGTTTTTGCGTGACTGGTTGCAGAATGATTTTTCTCTGAGTTCATGATGCCTTATTTATTAGTCAGAATTCTAATTCAAGGAAGAGCTCTCCCTTTCCCGCCCTCTATATCTGTCTGCTTTGTTGTGATCATCAGCATAGACACGTGATTCTTGGTAAATGGGCTGTTACAGTCTGGTCCTTATCTATTTTAACGGTTCATTAAAATAGTGTCTCAGAAATGGCCACTGGGAGCACTTCAGCCTGGTTCCTATGCCTTTTTAACATGCAACCATTTTAAAATATGTCTTTAACTTTTGGATCAGTGTTCCAGGCTTCTCCCTCACTTTTTCCTCTTCGTTCCTGGAAATCTTGGTTCCTGTTAGTGAGAAGTGGTGTTGAACCCGAACTCTGGGCTCTGGTTGTCTTTAAGTCTAATGGAATCACACTGACTCTAGGTTGTGTGTGCTGGGGGGGGGGGCCCTTGGTTTGCAATGTTCTCAAATCCAATCCACAAACTTTTTTTACCTTCCTTTATTATTATGGATTTATTTATATTTTGGATTTTTTGAGACAGGGTCTTATGTAGCCCAGGCTGACCCAAACTTGTAGCCACAGATGACCTTGAACTCCTGATCCTCCTACCTCCACTTCT